CTCAGCAAGTTCGCTGCCGAGGAGAAGTGCGAGGATGTGCCTCTCACCTACGCCGCCCTGAAGCCGCGCATCCGCAAGGAGCCCCTGGGCATGGTTCTCGTCATCGGCGCTTTCAACTTCCCCGTCCAGTTGACCCTTCTTCCCATCATCGGCGCCATCGCCGCCGGCTGCACCGCCGTCTTGAAGCCTTCCGAGAGCGCCCCAGCCACCGCCATGGTCCTGACCAAGATCTTCGAGGTTGCTCTTGACCCCAAGGCCTACACCGTCATCAACGGTGCTGTCCAGGAGACTCAGGCTCTTCTTGACGTCAAGTGGGACAAGATCATGTACACGGGCAGCACTGCCGTCGGCAAGATCATCTCCAAGAAGGCCGCTGAGACCCTCACGCCCGTCACCCTCGAACTGGGTGGTCTGAATCCGGCTTTCGTCACCAAGAACGCCAACGTCAAGCTCGCCGCTCGCCGTCTCATGTGGTCAAAGTGCCTCAACGCCGGCCAGGTCTGCATTTCTCAGAACTATATCCTGGCCGACCGTGCCATCGTCGAGCAACTCATCCAGGGCCTCAACGCTACTTACAAGGAGTTCTTCCCCAGCGGCGCCAAGAACAGCCCTGACTTCTCTCGTATTGTCAACAAGAAGTCTTTCCAGCGCATCAAGAAGATGATTGACGAGACGAACGGAAAGATCGTCATGGGTGGTGGTTTGGACGAGGACCAGCTCTACATTGAGCCCACCGCCGTGCTGGTCGATTCCATGCTCGACTCCGTCATGAAGGATGAGTCTTTCGGCCCAGTTTTCGCCATCATGCCGTATGATACCCTCGACGACGCAATCAACATTGCGAACCAGGTATACAGGACGCCTCTGGCGCTCTTCGCTTTTGGCAATGATCAGGAGAGCAAGCGAAGTAAGCAAAGCCCATTGTTTGTAGACAGGTGACCATACTAACTTGCTGCAAGTCCTCAACGAGGTGACTTCTGGCGGTGCCACCATCAACGACGGCTTCTTCCATGCCTCCATGTCGACTGTCCCCTTTGGCGGCGTCGGTGATTCCGGCACGGGCAACTACCGCGGTCGCGCGTCCTTCGACGCCTTCACCCACCGTCGCTCCGTCGCGCAGACTCCTTCGTGGCTGGAGAAATTCATCCGTGTTCGCTACATGCCGTACTCCCCCAAGGAGCTCAAGCGCCTCCAAGGCATGACAAATGACAAGCCCGACTTTGACCGCAATGGTATTCAGGTCCGCGGGGTGGGTTACTGGGTCAAGTTGGTCTTGGGGCTCGGCGCGAAAGGTGCTACAGGTGCGTTGTTGAGATGGGTCTTGGCCCTGGTAAGTATGTACACCCTAACCCAGCGAAGGCGTTCTTAGGACTTTGATCGGATGAAGTTATGGGTTGCAAATTTGAGTTTCAAACACAAAGAGCGTTTATCACACTTCACCTCCGCTGTTTCGTCTCTCTGGTACCCAAACACACTTTCCCAAGTGCGATTGTCACTGTGGTTTTTTCTTACCAAAAAAAACCACAACCTCATCACAACACATGCCCTCGCGCACCTTTTTCCTTTGATTGTAAGTTTAGTCCCCCTTCAGATATGACCTGCCTTGGAGAGATACTGGGGGACACGCGAGAAAAAAGTTTCGACTTGTCGTTGGACACACTCGCTTGGAGTGAAGGGACTCATGTTGCTGGGATGAAAATAGGGGGTGTGAATGTAAGGCTTAGAGAAGCCTTGGTACTATCCCCCATCTCAGACGCAGTCTGTATGGTACTGTGCTATATACCATTTCCTATACGTTATGCGATAGTAATGTGAAGAAGGCAAAAAGCATGCCTTTGACGTTCGTTAAATATTGGCATTGTTCGTGAAAAGAGATTTGGAATTCTGCGTCATCAAATGAAATCAATACGTATGGCGATCAAGGTCATTTCTTTCGTTTTACGTTGCATACTATGTTTTTGCAAATTCTAAGATGACCTACAGAAAAAAGGAGAGAACCCTTCATCGATCACGAATTGAACCCAAAGCGAAGCAAAGATCAAGGCTTGTGGAGGAAGACGAATTCACCGGCCACCTCCTAAACCCCTCAACAACTTGCCTCCTAAACTTCCGAGTTTCGACAAAATAAAAGTGTGCCCTGACTAATTCCCATAAAATCACCTCGCAGTCCCAACAGGAACACCCCAAGACCCCTTCGCCAACTCAACAGGCACATTCATCTCCAACCTATCATCGTCATCTCTCATCACCACCGACGCCAGCGCGCGGGGGGGTTTGGTGAGTGCAGGTGACGGGTCCGGATCAAAGTAGCCCGGCCTGGCGTCCGACCTGTCTCTCTTCCTCCTCCTTCTCTTCTGCTGTCTCTGACTACCTCCCAGGAAGGTCGAGGAGACGATGGATGAGAGCGTACTTGATCTAGAGAGACTGTGCAGCTGGGAAGGGGTCCTAGTTTGGCGTCTCTCCTTCCCGCCTGATGATGTCGTCTCCAACGTAGAAGGTTTCCCAGAATCGTGGGCTAGAATCCCCGTCATCTGCTTTTCCTTGCCTTGCTCCCTAGTCTTGGGAATAACCAGCCCCTCATCGACATCGTCACCACCACCACCATCGCCACCACCAAGCGCAACATCCAGATTCCCCTGCTGCATAGCCGCACTCCTCTTCCTACTGCGGCGACTCGGCTCACCCTCGGTATTCGACACGGCGGCCAGCGCCGCGGACGCAAGGCCCCGATCTCTGGCGAGCCATCGCGCGTCCCGGTGCGCCTTGTAGGTTCTGAAGCCGGCTTGTGCCGTGGTGTCTCCGTCGACGAAGCGTTCGAGGAAGAGTTGGACGCGGTCGCGGAGGCGGATGAAGATGCGGGCGGGGGTCGCTCGCGGTTCTTGGTGCTGACGTTGTCGTGGGCATGGTTGGTGGGGTGTGGTCATTGTTTGTACTTTGAGTCGGTGATGGCGTTAAGTCTCGAGTCTGTGAAGGGGCGGTCTACTTTTCGACATGAGAGTATGATCGTGGGCGAGGTTGGAAGACGCTGAGCTGTCTTGTCCTCCGCGAAGCCTCGATTTTCTCGATCTCGGATCTCGTCCACCGTTCCGCGACCCCCCTGAATGATAGAACCTATAGGCAAATGAAATCCGAGTAAAAACGGCCCGGCTGTACCACTCACACCTGTCCATGTCCCACTTCCGCCCGCGGGAACCAGGGAAGAAGACTGACGATTCCACAAAAGAGAAACAAAAAGAAGAGGCTTGCCGTTTTTCATTCTATATGTGTGGTCTGGTTGGTAGTACAATAATCCCACCATCCGCTCTCCTCCCGCCCCCCTCAATCCCGCGTCTGTCACGTCGACAATCGGGAGAGAGAGGTGGTTCAAAAACCGCGGCAAATCAAATACCCCGAAGCTGCGTATTATCCTGCTCGTCCATCTTGCGGTACCGCTCCGCCAGCACCTCCTTGACGCTCTTGGTCAACCCGCTCGGCTTCTCGTACCGCTGGTGCAGCGCCTTCTGTACCGGCGTCGTCGCGGGCGCCACCGCGCCGTCGGCCTTGATGCTGACCTTGTCCTCGGCCACGCCCACCGCCTGCTTCGCCGCCACGAGCACCGCCTCCCCTTGCTGCCGTCCTTTGTCCACCACGTCGCCGACGACGGCCTTGACCTCGGCGGCCTTGCTGTCGACAATCTTCTTGGCCTCGGCGGCTTTCGCGTCGAGGAGCTTCTTCGCCTCAGCGGCCTTGGCGCGCGCAGCCTCCTCGGCAGCGAGGCTCTTTTCCCTCGCGCGCTCCCACGCGCTGCGCGCCTCCTTCTTGATCTCCGCGCCGGTCGCCTCCGCAGCGGCAGCGCCCTTGGCCGAAGCCTCCTTGGCCAGCGGGACGGCGCTCTTCTCGACGGCCTGCTCCGCCTCGCCGGCCTTTTCAATGGTGCCGCCCCAGAAGCGCGCGGCGCCGCTCTCGAGACCCTCGCGCACCTCGCCCCAGTCGGTGCGCTGCGCCCAGCGGACGGCGTTCTCTACCTCGCGGTTCCAACGGTCTTTGGCGGAGGTGAGGAGCGTCTCGCGGTCCTTGACGGCCTGTTCGGCGCGGGTCAGGGGCGGAGGGATGCGGATTTGGGGCTCGAGGAGGGAGGAGAGGACGTGGTGTTGGGTGCGGAGGGTGTGGGACTGGCTTTCGCGGTTGCGTTGGTGGGCGAGGACTGTGAGGTAGGCTACGCCTAGGGTTACGGTCACACCGCCGGTCTGTTTGATGAGGTATGATAGTTAGCTATACGATATGCTAATAGTGCGTGTATGAAATCTCCGTCATAGGTTGCTGGAGTGCAAGAGAAAGAAAGAGAGAGAAAGAGAGGATGAGGGAGTGTAGCGTACGAATCCAGTGGTGAAGCCCATGATGGCTGATGATCCAGTCCAAATGCGACGGGCGCAATTGAAGACTGGGATTTGATATTATAGTTCCTCTCCGTAGATTGTATTCGGCTTCAAGGTTTCATGATGCAATTGGAGCAAGCACGTCGTAGGAAGTCGAACCGAATTGGCGTTGTCGCTTGTCACTGAATTGACCTCCGAGAAGCGGGACGGGCAGCTTCGGTGCGGAATGACGTTAATTAATCGGGCTTGCGAGCGAGCGAGCGACTTTCAGCCTCCCCGGGTGGATTTCGGCGACGGGCAGGGGTCAAGGTACCTTAGCACCTGGCGGCAGGAACACTGAACTACAGTCCCCGCCTAATTGTCCCTCTAAGCCAACCAGAGGCTCCGAACCACCCTACGCCAAAAATTTGGGAGACGACAGCCGACGGATTGCAACGAGCGACTCCAGAGGCTATCAGCACGGCTTTTTTGACGATCCAATTCGATTCGATAGCCTCAAACTGCTCCGAAGTCCACCGCCCTGTTCACCACGCAGAGCAGCCGTTCCTCTGCAGCCTACGGACGAAAACGAAACGAAACGAAACAGGTTGCTCCCGCCGACTTCTCTCCCTCAATTGAGACGACTTCAACACATTCACAGCAGCCATGGCGGGAGGTCTCACCAAGTACCGGCATCTGAGCCGCAACTCGTCGGCACGACAGGCCCTGCTTCGCGGCCTCGTCACCTCCCTCGTCGCCCACGAGCACATTCACACCACCTTTGCTAAGGCCAAGGAGGCCCAGCGCCTCGCTGAGAAGCTCATCACCTACGCGAAGCGCGACAACGAGGAGACGAGGCGGAAAGCTCAGGCGATTCTCTACGTGAGTTGGACAAACACCCCTGGTGGTCTCGGCAGCTCTTCAAGATGGAAGAAGCTACTAGTCCCCAAACAGAGACGAGGTTCAAAAAGAACGAACCGAGACTGACAAAAGGATATAACGTTAGACACCCCACGACCTCCTCCCCAAGCTCTTCGGCGAGCTCCGCACACGCTACTCCGAGCGCCCGGGAGGCTACACGCGCGTGCTGCGCACCGAGCCCCGGAGCACCTACGACCAGGCGCCTTCTGCGATTCTCGAGCTCGTCGACGGGCCTCGCGACGTGCGCTTCATGATGACGGCCAAGGCCGTCGCCCACGACAAGGACTCCGGCCACCGCAGCACCGACCTGACCAAGAAGAACGTCGCCAAGGTGACGAGGTACCGCAAGGACGGCAAGACGGCGTTCGACGACATGGTGGCCAGCTTCAGGCTTCTCACGGCCCGGTCGGATGCGAAGGCGGCGAAGAAGGAGGAGTTGTTGGAAGGGGCCAAGGTCAAGGCTAAGAAGGTGAAGGCCGCCAAGAAGGCGTAAAGCCGAGTGGAGGCTTTTGTTTTGATGCAATGCCAGTCGGTATAGGAGGTCTGTCGTCTGCTGGATAGGGGCAAAAACTTTGCTCAAAAGCAGAGAGGACGATGTGGCGTGAGAAGAAAATGTAACTGATAAGAATGGTGTATTATCAAGAGGGAAATACCTGGCCAGTCTATAGATTACTGTCGTGTAGGGTATACATGTATACTACGGAAGCTCCAAAAAGACAACTTTTTAACTTCTGCCATAATATGGCAGCAAAACACATCCATCTTGCCCCATTCTCCTTGTTCTTACACAAAATCAAAGGTATCGCCCTTCTCCTGGATCATCTTGCCTACGCGCTGCGTGCTGACCACGCGTTCCAGCTTCATGACATCGTACTTTGAGAACATGATGCGCACGGTACCTTGTCCAGGCTCGATTCTCATATCCTGCTCGCTGCGCGCGAGGTAGTCTCCCGCGATCTCGCGGTAAAAGATTGGGTTGTCGGGCAGGCCGTACATGATGACGCGCTGGACGCCGCGGATCGGCGTCCGCCGGAAGTGGTGCGCTCGCTCCGTGTAGAGGAGCACCTTGTGCCGGCCCGTCATGAAGTGGGAGCGGGCGCGCGAGGCCTCGGGGACGTCGGCGTACTCGGAGATTGTGCCAAAGGAAAGGGCGGCGACGGCCGGGTTGGCGGAGAAGTAGTTGCGCACGCGGACGAAGTCGAGGTAGGAGGGGATGAAGATGAGGGTGCCCGAGGTGTCCCTCGCGCGCTTGATGAGGGAGGGGAGGATGGCCGAGACGAAGTAGTCGAAGCGCGCGTCGGGCTCCTTTTCGAGGGAGCGGCACTCGAAGCGGGAAAAGGTCTGGCGGGCCTTGATGCCTAGCTGCGTGAGGACGCCCGGGTAGTCGGCCTGGAAGCGGACCTTGCCGGCCCAATTGTGGCACTGCGTGCGGAAGAGCTCGGTGAGCTCGGGCGTGTTGAAACCGGAGAGGACGATGGTTTGGCGGAAATATTTCGCCTGGTCGTCAAGGTACCAGCTGCGCACGCGGCCAAAGTCGCAGCCGTGGGCGTCCTTTGGCTGGAGGTTCATGTGCTCGAAAATGTACTCGACGTGCTCCCAGTTCTGCATGAGCTGGGCGTCAGCCTGGTCAACGACGACCATCTCAATGGAGCTGAGAAAGTCGTAGTCCATCTTCTTCTTGTCTTCGTCAGAGCCGATGGCCATGCGCAGGCCCAGGGGACTGGCAAGCAGGATGTCTGAGTTGTAGAATTGTGAAAAGTACTTGACGGTCTTGCGCGTGAACTTCATACCGATCCGGAACATGTCGTCGTCGTTGCCCTCGAAAAGGTCGCGGAAGTCGGCGGGCTTGTCGTCTCCGAATTTGACGTCCTCATCAGTGTACGCATCGTCGAAGCGCTTTCTGTTTTCCCGCTGGTCCGGCGCGCAAATGTCCTCGATTGTGTTTGCAATCGTTAGGCAAGATTGTCTTGTTGGCAGTAGGAATAGGATCTTGGGGCGCGTGAAGCCCTGGTCCCTGAGCTCGAGATCGGCATTCTCTTCTCTCGAGAGTTTGTAGTTGTTCTTGATGACTCTGTCTCGGGTCCTGTTTGTATGTAAGCGTTTGAAATTCAAGGCAAGTCACGTCCAGGTAGGTCCCTTACTTGAAGACGTGGTTGACGGCGTGTAAGCATACAAGCTGCCGTAAGCCGTTGGAGTTCTGAGTGTTTCGGTTATCATACAACACGTCGTTGTAATTGAATATCGTCGGAGCAATCGCTCGTTGCAGCGTATCGAGTGAGCCAATCTTCTTCGAGGCGATCTCCCGCAATTTTTGCTTGAGCTTGAGGCTATCCAAGCCGGAGATCGGTGATGGGATCGTCGGGGCGTCCGTTCCTTCCGCTTGAGGGTATGTCACCACAGCCTTTGAAACCTTGGACATTGTTCGCTTGAAAGTCCAGTCATTCTTCTGGATCGCCTTGACTCTCTTCGCCGTCACAGCTTCGTCAGGGGTAGCGAAGTGGCTGTCGAACGGATCTGAGGCATCGACGTCGTCTTCATCGTCGCTCTGCTCCGCTTCCTCTTCCAAATCAGCCATTGGGTCTTCAGCCTCCTCGACCCTGTCAACATCTTTGTCCTCCTCCTCGGCCTCATCGCCATCAGATTCAGACTCGGATCCAGATCCAGCTTCAGACTCAGACTCGGACTCGGACTCGGCCTTGGCGGTCGCTTCTGGTCTGCCGCTCTCGAGCTTCCGTCTTTTGGCACTTGGCTCTGAAGACTCCTTAAATCCTTGGAGGAGCGCCATATAAGGCCGTGTGTTTTGAGGCTGCTCATCTTCATCCTCATCATCAGACATGGAGACATCAGAATCCTCCTCTGCCTCAGAGTCTCCCTCTTCTTGGGACTCATCATCTGAAGTCCTGACAGTGTTAGATTATCATAAATTTTCATAAAATGTTCGGGAAGGTTAAACATACTCTTTTTCTTCCAGACGTGCAGTATCGAATCTTCTGCCTCCTCTTCCTCTACCTCGGCCTCTCGCACCTCCTCTCCCTCTTGTGCCTCCTCTTGCACCTCCTCTGCCACCACCACGGGCAACGCCTCTGCTTCCTCCCCGGAATCCGGCCCGACCTCTACCTCTTGGGCCCATTATATCTTACTTGCTGTCAGTGCAAGTTCTGGGTAAACACAGACAGCAATGTATGAGCTTTCAAAAGAAAAAATAGATTAAAAAGTGTTGTTTACCGAAGCAAAACTCATTCACTTGGTCGACGGAAAAAAAGTTATAAGTCGGCCATATCAGCCTTGCAGAAAATCCCACACTAGGTAGTCACTAGCCACAGCGGGGCACTTCCGCCACAGAGACCGTTATCGTGTCTTATCTTAGCGCGCACAACCCAGTAGGGGCCAACCACAAATCGCAAAATCGGCAAACCGCCCACTAGGAGAAAGCGAAAGAGTTCGACGATTTTTTGAAGCGACCTATCGCGAAAAAACGCTCCGACCAGAGACCCCAAACCCACTCTTCAATTTTTGGCCCGCGCATCACCACCAACCCGAAACCCGCCCTCCCCCTCCCCTCCTCTTCTCGATATCTCCTCCTCAACCGCAGGTCTCCCCCTTCGAAAGAACCTCGACGACCCGAGATCCAACCTGCCCAGCATGGCTGTCGCCGAAACTGAGAAGTTCCTCCACCTGTCGCGGCCCATCGCGCCGGCCACGATTGGCATCCCAGGCAACATTGCCCCGCTCACCGTCAACATCCAGCCCCAGGTACGACACATCTTGCTACGCTGCAGGACCTGATATCATTACCCGAGACATGTCATAGACCTTAACAAGGCCATGGCGTATATACACATTCATCATTAATACAGCTTACCCCCCGTGGGGAACCCCAACTACTCGTCGCTAACCCCACCTCCTCCTCCCAGGCCATCCTCTCCATTCTCGACCATGCCGTGCGAAGAGACATCCGCGATACGCAATCAACCCGCGTTATCGGCGCCCTCGTTGGTGTCCGCTCCGAAGATGGCACCGAGGTCGAAGTGCGCTCCTGCTTCGCCATCCCCCACACCGAGAACGAGGACCAGGTCGAGGTGGACGTCGACTACCAGAAGAACATGCTCGCCCTCACCCTCAAGGCCAACCCGCGCGAGTCCCTGTTGGGCTGGTACACCACCACCCACGAGCTCAACTCCTTCTCCGCCCTGATCCAGAACTTCTTCGCCTCCCCCGAGACCGGCACCTTCCCCCACCCCGCCGTCCACCTCACCATCAGCACCGACCCGACCTCCGACATTGAGGCCCGATGCTACATCTCCGCCCCCGTCGCCGTCAACGCCGAGCGCGCCGCCGAGAGCTGCCTCTTCATCCAGGTGCCCCACAAGCTCATGTACGGCGATGCCGAGCGCAGCGCCCTCGAGGCCATCTCCATGGCCAAGGACACCGAGGACCGCACCGCCCCCGTCGTCTCCGACATTGAGGGCCTCGCCCGCTCCATCGAGTCCGGCGCCAACCTCATCGAGCGCGTCAGCGACTGGGTCAACGGTATCCTCGACGAGGACGAGGAGCCCAACCAGGCCCTCGGCCAGTACCTCATGAACGCCCTCTCCCTCGCGCCCAAGGTCGACCCCGAGCAAATTGAGCACGACTTCAACAACCACATCCAGGACGTCCTCATGGTCTCCTACCTGGCCAACACCATTCGCACCCAGATCGACCTGTCGCAACGGCTGGCTGTTGCCAACCTCACCGGCGGCGAGAAGGACGGCGAGGGCAAGACGACCGAGGGCGGCGAGAAGGGCGAGCAACAGCGGGGTGGTCAGCGTGGCGGCAAGCGCGGTGGACGCGGCGGCGGCCGTGGTGGTGGCGGCCAGAGGGGAGAGCCCAGGGAGCCCCGCGAGCCTCGCGAGCCGAGGGAACCTACCGAGTAAAGAAAAAAGGGGACAAGCTAATTTGTTTGAGAAAGAAAAGAAAAAGAGAGGAATTTCTCCTTTTACATGCAAAAAGCCATGTGGAAGAGAGGACTGAACCAAACCTAACACCCCTTAAAAAGGAGATAGGAGGTCGAGAGGTTGAAAGAGACCTAGGACAAGCTGGCCCGCGATGCTGGGGAATTTTCTGCCGCAAGGTTAGCAAGCATGGCATCATGAGGAATCCACACTTGATAAAACCATCATGGCGTTATGGCAGTGGCAGAATTAGACGGCCTAGGGTAGAATGCGCTAGGCAGTTGCAATGATGATTATTCACGCTTTCATGCAAATATTCAAGATACACACACAAGAGACGTCTGTTCAGCTTGCGACGTACGTAAACTTTGAAAAAAGGTTTGAGTGATAATTAAGGTGCGTAAGTGTTCTAGCATGCAATAGCCTACATGATCTGATGCCATCCTATCCCTCCTGTGTGAACGCCAGTATGCTGTACCTTTAAAACCCCTGTACGCCGTTCATTCTGCCATGGACCGTCCAACAACATCAAGCGTGTACCTAAATACCCATGTTTGGCTTTTGCGGCAAAGTAGCAGGGTTGCCGTAGTGGGGCAGGTGGCTGAACGTCTGTCCAGCCGGACCCTGAGGGATGGCGGGTTTATTGGGAATATGAGGGGAGGGGTTTTGTGGTATGTGTTGCGGGGGGTGTTGAGGAATATGATGAACCGGTGCTTGAGGCATAGGGTTCAAGTGATGAGGGTGCTGGGGCGGAGGCGGGTGGTAGGAAGGAATCGAGTTGTTCGATCCTTGCCTCGCCATGGCATAGCCGTAAGGTGCTGGTGGTCCTTGCTGCTGATAACCGGCGTATGCCAGATGTGGTGAGCCGATCTGGGGGCTACCGTGGTGAGATCCAGGAGCACTGAATGGCGGCTGTGGTGGCTGCATCGGAGACATGCCACCCCCAGGGACGAATGATTGCGTCTTGGGATTGAAGGCGTGACGATTGTAGCTGCCGGGGATGGGATGCTGGCTCTTTGGGTCGTTCGGGTTGATGTTGGCCGGCAACTGCCCGTACATGTACGGAACAGTGCTTTGACTGGGCGGCGCCGACATACCCCGAGGCGTGTAAGCCGTGGCATTAGCCGTCGAAGGTGGAGTCATCGGCACCGGCGCCGGTCCGAACCCTGGTTGTGGTTGCCAACCTTGCTGTGGAGGAGTAGGGCCAGAACCACCATAGCTCCTCGCATTCGGAGGAGCTTGGAACTGGGCCTGGTTTGCCGGAGGCGGATACTAGTCCCGATCAGCTTTATGAAGTTGAGGACGGAAGAGTTTTCTTACCGGTGTCATGTTAGGATAGCCCGCATTGTAGCCCGCGTTAGGCATCATGGGAGCAAATGTTTGCGTGGGTGTAGTGTTGTAAGGGGCTGCGGGGATCTGATTGGGATACGGTTGCTGCACCGGCGCACCGTACTGGTTTGACACAGGAACATACTGAGGTTGAGGCACCCAAGTCTGCTGCTGCGGCCCCCAGTATGGTGTGTAGTTGTGTCTCGAGTCGAAACTGTCTGAATCATCCCGTCTCTGCTTCCCAGTCTTGCCCCGTTTGCTGACACCAGGCTTTTCCCTCGCCGAAACGGAGCTGGCACGTGAAACGCCATTTTCGATTTCGTTATCTTGGAACACGATCAGTGGCGGTCCGAAGGAAACGTGATAGTCACACATACCAGGCGTAGATTCCCCAGTCTTCTCAGAATTGCCGAATATTCTCTCTCGGGCTTGCTTGTACGCTTCTTCACGCTGCTCTCTCGACAATCTGAACAAGTCAGCAAGTTGCAATCATTCGAGGAGGAAGGGCAAAATACTTCTGATTTGCCGCAGCAGACTTATCCTTAGAGTCACTGCCGGTCTCAGACGTGGCCTTGGATGGAGAAGCGCTGTTGCTACCGAATTCCCCATCCTCCCCACGTCGCATGATCTTTCGAGGCAGGACCGCTGGAGGAGGAGGCGTTTCGGCATTGGTTTCCGGAGCAGCGATACTAGCAAGCGACTCAGGTACTCTGGCGTAAGGGGTTCTGAAGATTCGGACAGATCCCACACGAGCTTCATACTGATGCGTCATGCGGTAGTAGTCAGCCAGCTTATGTGTGAGCATCCTACAAAATGAATTTGAAGGCGGAAAGTCCATGTACGGGTCTCTGATATCGCTGTTAGTGACTGCACATTGATTCAATCCGTCGGTACTCACTTGGAATTTTGAACAAATTTGATCAATTCGGCCTCCAATCGCAATAGAAACAGTCGATCCTTCGGGGAAGCCATAGCCTCCAAGAGTTTTTCATCCGGTGCCTGTCCGTAGATGGTATTCAAGAGATTGGCAGAGTCGGGGAGATTAGCAGACAGAGCGTTAGGGATGGGCATCTGTGGTTGATCTGACGAAGCACTCTGCGGTGTGATCATGCCTTGGCTCAAGGAGCCGGAGATAGGTTGGGCTAGACGGCGATCGGGCATGTCGCCAAGCTGGATGATGCCTCTAGCACGCGCCGCAATGTCGGAACCCATTCTGGAGTTTGGTAGATTTGGCCCCCGGAATGAGAAGGAATCGTCGTCCTCGGCAGCAGCGGCTTTGACGCTGGCACTGTCATCCGGCCTCAGGGATTCCTTCTCGTCCAGCGCAAAGGTCGTTCCCGACGTAATACTCTTTCCGTCCAGACTGGGAGGCTTGGTACCGAGCTCCGAGCTGGAGTCAGCTCTCTGGGAGTCGTCCGACCCATCCTTGGTTATAGATTTTGATCGCTCAGCGTACGAAGAGCCTGTTCCGTTCACAACAAGGCTCGGTGTCGGTTGCCCAATGCTCAAATCCTTCAATCCATCCAACACGGCACCGGTCGCATCGGGCTTCTTGGACAGGGTGGGCTCGCGCTTAGCGACAGTCGGCGCAGACTTCGTAGAGTTCATGATTGCGGATTGGCGAGTATCAACTGCGTCTGAAGTGGCAGATGCGGGTATGGAGGCGGCACCGGTAGAAGAAGCTTGGCTGGGACGGGCTTGAGCTGGCGCAGCAACTGGTCTGACGGTAGTGACGGGTTGGGAATCTTTTGATGCCGATGCAGCGACCTAGAATAGCGCAGAGATTGTCAGCATTCATCACTAGGCAACTACTGAGCTTCGAGAACGAGGGGTAGCTCGGGAGCAAATCGCACCTTTGCGAAAGATGGCTTAGGAATGTCAGATGGCATCTGGGCTGTAGCCATAGCCAGTGAAGAGGTTCGGAGGATGGCCCAACTTCAGCCGTGGGTAGTGAGATGGAAATGAAAGTCGTCCACTGAAGTAGCTTCGCGCAGGTAGAATGGTAGGCGCGCGATGAGACGAAATAAGAGACCGGGTCAAAAAGGATTAAAGACGAGGTCCGAAAGCAAGGAACAAACTGGATCAAGGCGAGCCTGCAGAGGAAGAAATACCGTGGATCATCGTCGGGACAAGGTCGTCATCGTAGCTTTTGGATTCCTGAATGTTGGATGAATGATGGACCCAGTTTCTCGTTGCAGGGGAGAAATGGGAGTTGTCCGTTGCGTGTTTCGTCGTCGAATAGATGTGCGCCTGAGTGACTATCCGTCAGTGGTTGTGGGAAAGGTTGGTTGCAGGAAGCTGGTAGATAGGCGCGCAGCGGTTGAGACGAGGCGACGTGAAATTTTGGCGGCCTGTGAGGCGGATAGTCCGTCACGGGCTTGGGGGAGAGGGGTGTGGTGTGGGTGGTGTGGTGCAGACGATGGTTTAAGGTAGTGGGAGGGAATTGGTAGAGCTGTGGTGTGGGTTTTTGGGATTGCGCTGCAAAGGGAAAAAAGAGGATGGGGAAACTGGAGAACGGAGCCAACGACCTCTCAGCTTCTTGTTCACTCACCCCGGGTAACTTGCAGTGCGAGATCAATCACTCACGCACTCCTCACTCGCTAGGTTCAATAAGTACTGATATCCGTAATCCGATGACAACGTTATGTCTCAATTTCACACTCGTGTTGCGTGAGGCCCTCTCACACAAACACACACACACACACTCTCTCTCTCTATCTGTATTCTCTCAGTTGCGAGGTATCTTCGGTCGCAGAGACGTAGTAGAGAACCTTAGCGAGAAGCTTCAGTGTTGGCAACTCCCAATCGAGCGGACAACGGTCTCAAGTCGATAAGGTGGTGTCAGACGGCTGCCATCCCCTCCGCAACGTCTTGTGGGACGTCAGGCTGAAGAGTCGGGTATGATTGGGAACGGAATACGGGAATTCTGATGACCATCAAGCAGGTCTCGGGCCTGGGTAGGGTAGATTAGTTGGTGAGAGACAAAAAGACCAGAGGCTGTGCCGAGAGTGGCTTAGTGCCGGCAGATTCCTAACGGAAACCTTGGGTCTGTGGCTGGTGCCTCTGAGGCTGGTGCAGGTTTTCCGATCCTTTCCTCCACCTTACATAAGCGTCCGAGTTGCCCATCGTTGAAGCCAAACCTCATTCCTCTGTCGCTGAAGTAAACCACTTTCTACAGAGCTGGTAACAACTGAAATTCAGCTGCAACGGCGAAACACCAAAGAGCCCGTCGCTAATAATTGAACACCAGTGTTGTATCAAAGGCTCGCGTACCAAGCAAGAAAACGGAAGAAAATCTCATCTGTTGATCCCATCATAGCGGATCATCAATCGCCATCCAGACTTACAACAGTGCGATTCCAACAAAAACCTGATTGAAGACGCCAGCGCAACGACGGCTATTCAAATTACGGCAAACCCTTCGCTCAAGTAGCGAATCTATTCAATGCATCCCTACAGAGGCCGTGGCGGACCTCGCCAGTCCACCCCAGCAAACGTCCAATGTCAAAAGTGTCTCAAAAGAGATAAGTCTACAAGCAAACCATACGTTGCAAATATCAAGCTGACTCTCACAGAACGTCACTACTCTTATGAATGCAAGGAGTCGGCTACGGCTCGACCATATGTGTCTCGGCCGTCCCGAACTCAACAGCTGCGCAACCCGAAGCTGATGCCCAAACTGACAAACGATACGCCAGATGACGCGCAAAGAAAGTCAGTTTCTCACCTTCGTTTGTATTTCATGCGTTCAAGGTGGCTAATTTGTGGAGTAGGAAAGGAATCGCCGATGAGGAGCTCGCGAAGAAGGAAGCTGAGCGAGCGAGAAAGAGGGAGCTAGACGAGAGAGATGACGAACTCATCAGGCAAACAGAGAGTAAGCGCAGACGATCCGAGTCTGTTGACTCCGTTTCCACCATCTCAACAAACCGCTCCGTATCGCCTCCTCCTAGGCGGCGCTCGCCATCTCCCGCCTCTGCTCTGCGGAGACAGAGGTCGTTTAGTCCGGAGAGCGACGACGGTCGCTCTGTCTCAAGAAGGTCAGCAGCAAGCAGACGGACTCAGTCCCCACCTCGACGCCGCCAGAGATCACTTTCGAGGGACAGTCGTTCACCCGTTGGAACCCAGGAGCAGAACTATCGTCAGAGGGATGCGGATCACGCTAGACCAACGGCCAGTGGTCATGCGCGCTACTCGCCCAATTCCAGGGATTCATCCATCTCAGGACGTGGTATGGATGCTGTTGGCAGCAGGCGGTCGTTGTCCCGGTCTCCCGACCGTCGTGGTGCGAGGCCACAAAGCGGCCCAAGTCGACGTGCTGGCAGAAACGACGGATATCGAGACGAGCCTCAGCCTACACTGGGCCGAGGTGGTGAGAACCAAAGGCAGGGTGGTGGATCTGAGCGACAGCCAGAACGAGAGCGCAGTCTCAGTCCATTTTCCAAGAGACTGGCGTTGACACAGTCCCTAAATAGGTAGCTATGGGGTATCAATTATATGTAGGTCAAATGGAGTCTATGCCTGCTCCGCAACTGTAGAAACACAAAGGCATTCTGCCACTCGCGCCAGGATTTGCTGCTTAAACAGCCAAATCGTCATCCTCCTCGTCCGCCTTCTCTCGTCTCTCGTCCTCTTCTTCCCTCTCGCGTACGCGCACTCCTTCCACTAATGCAATACCATCAATTCCAGCTGCGTCGCCCTCCCTGCTGCCTGCATCGACTTGCTTGGTCTGTGTAGCCGCTTTCTGAGCTCCTGTGATGCGTTCCCTTACTAGCTTCGCAATAGCATTGTCCGTCCGAACGTTGAGAATCTCCAGCTTCTTCTCCAAGTCTCTCTTCAGGTCCCAATTCGGCTTTTTGGGTTGAAGCTTGAACAGATCGATACCCTTGTCATCCTGCGCATCTTCGGTTGCCTTTTGCTTCACATCCTCCTCAATGTCTGCCGCGAGCTCTTCCAGTGTAGGATTCTCTAGGTCTTGGGTCGGGGGCGCCTCGAAGCCAAGCTTGGGACCACGCGTTTCTGGGTCGTAGTTGCGCCCGGAAAGGTGCAATTTTGTGACGTCCGGCTCTGTTGGGGCCGAAGCTGCGCGTTCTGACTCTGGCGCAACGATCTCATCCGCTGGTTGTTTTCTCTTGAGGTTCTTGAGCTTCGCGAGGCGCGCTTTGCGCTCGTCTGTTACCGCGCTTAGGGTGGCTTGGGAGCTCGACATGATGCTGTAATAGAGAAAGACTGATCGAAACGAACGATATTGTGGTAGGTTGGCCAGATATTCTTCGAATTGGAGTGTTGGTGAGATTGCGGCTTTTGGTGAGCGCGTTCAATCGGGAGTTTGGATGTTGAAAGTTCAAGTTCGGTTCGCAGTGGGGCAAGCCATTGCTACGATGGCGGGATACTTCCACGAAATGCACTAGCGGATGCACGGTCTTCCATCCTTCAAAATCGCATTTAGCTCGCCAGGGGTCTATGAGAAGCTACCATCTGTCGCAAAAAAATAAAATAAGACTCCAGTTCACAGACTACAGCCTCAAACTTCGGATACCTTACCCTCGATGCTCCAAGACAGTTAACAAAATCACGGTCGCACCGTCGTCGCTCGAATGCCGGCGAAGCTATACCTGTCCGTAACGACCGGAAGCTCTGGCTTTAACGCCCCGATATTACACCTGCGATGTCGCACTCCTTAGCAGGCCGACAATGTCTACGACACATCCGACAACGCGGCAACCTCGCAGCGAATAGTTATATCCAAACCTCCTTCCAAGCTCGACCCAATGCCACTTCCGCTATAGAATACTCCACAGAACGGACGTTTCGAATTCGCAAAATAAAAAGATTAGTCGAGCCAGGATCGAGAAATGCGCCAACGCCTATCGGAGCACCCATAAATGCCGAAACAAGCCGGAAACGAACAGAGTTCACCTCGAAAAACATCGATACATGGTCCCCTAAGAATGGAGGAGAGAGGAAGAAGAAATACGAATTCACATCAGGAAATGCCGACACCTGGATTTCTGAGCTCGTAAAAGAGAGGAAGAGAAGATACCTGGAATATGGGTACCTCCGCCATCGCATGACCAAGAAGGAGTTGAAAGACTTTGAGAATTGGAAAAACGACTGCAAAAGACTGTACGGATTCGCATCCTTCGGCGAAGGCTACAAAGTCCCAAAAGTCCTCAGCTGGATCCAAGACCGTCAAGCCGTTGAAGACGCGATCGAGCAATGGCCGACATGGACTGAGGAGCAGAAGAAGACAAAGTGGCGAAAGCTCATGTTCTCTGCTTTATGGTCTTGTCCTGATCGGGCTACAGCCATACTCGAAATCACCACCCGCGATATCAAGCCGCCGGGTTACGCCATCAGTGATGCTATTCACTTCCTCGCAAAGTGGCAAAGTCAACTATCCAAGCCTGAGTTTACTGAGCAGAGAAGACATCTTTGTAACGTGGTCGTGACGGTCTTTGAACGTCTGCCTGCGGCTTATATCCCCCTGAGGCAAAACACCATCTACATGCTGACGCATGAGGTAGAATTGCCCACCTTGATTGCCCTTTACGATTGTTGGAGGGAAAAGGACGTCCGACTCCACAGCAACACTCTCCAAAACATGGCCAGACGGCTTGCAGTCAGCCCCTTACATAAGAACCTAGCTCTCCAGATGGCCATCGATTCTATCCCAGACCAAGGTGTTGATCTCGACTCAGGCCTATGGGCATCTTTGTGTACCTCAATCTTGAGTCTCAAGCGTGGCCAAATCAAGGTTGACGACGGGTTTTCAGCTGCGGACGCATTTGTTACCCTTATAGAGCATGGCTTTGCTCCCAACATGGTGCACTACACGGCAGTGATCAGGTCGCTGTGCCTGACAGATCAGAATGAAGTTGCAGAGGAGGTGTTCCGGGTTATGCAGCGGCACAACTTTGAACCAGACATGATCATGTGGTCTACTCTGTTAGACGGAGGAAAGCGAGCTCTTTCGCCGTCGAGTATCGAATCTGCCGTCATAGGAGCTGTCGAGGGCAATGAGATTGACGTTCCCTTCTTCAACGACCTACTGATGTGCCTGCTTCACTTCTGCAAGTGGACGCCCGGTGTCATGCCGGCCTTTGGGCCAATGTTACACTTCTACTCAAAGGTGTTCCATTTGGCACCATTACAGGCTCTCCTTCCCGTGGACCTGTCAATGTACCTCGAGGGCCAAGAAGGCCTGCAGATGCCAGCGGATTGGGAGTTGGCGCGACAACTATTTCCTGCACTTGACAGGGCCATGTCCACCGTCCACGAGAAGATGGAACCGACGAGTGCAACCCTGAGCATCATGTTCCTCGCATACGTGAGGAGCATGTCACAGCCCATCAACCTCATTTCACTATACGCGTACCTCAGACAGGAGATTTTGAAGGGCAGCCCCGGCGCCACTAAGCTGGTGCAGGAGAAGGGGTCATTCATGTACGACGTCCTTATCAAGGCGCTCTGCAAGCACCCAGGCATGCTCCGTGCCGCGTTGGATATCGTCGGCGACATGCTCAAGTACACGCTTGAAGAGCGGAGCAGAGCAGCCGACGCAGCGAAGCAGTCCTCGAAGGGGAGAAGTGGCAGCAGGAGGACTGAGGTTAAGGAGACCGAGATCCAACAGACTGGGGCTCAAGATAGACAAGCACAGGAGAGCAAAGTCCCGCAGAGCGAGATCAAGGAGACCGAGGTTGCTCCCGCGCCGCTGCACCCTGCTCCAAGCGTCTTCACCTGGAGCATCCTCCTGCACGGCTTCAGTAAGGAAAAGGGCTCCGGGGAGCGGATCCTCGCCCAAATGCGCCAGCACGGCGTCGAGCCGAACCTGGTCACCTGGAACACCCTGATCGCGGGCTACGCCAGGGCTCAGGACGTCAATAAGACGGTGCTGTCCCTCCAGCGCCTCGAAGCCTCGGGCCACGAGGCGGACGACTTTACGCTGCGGGCCTTTTCTCGGCTGGTCAACAGGGAGCTCGCGCTGAGGAAGATGGAGGACGCTCTCACGCGGAGGGCGACGCGGGACGAGATGAAGAGGCTCGAGGAGCAGAGGATGGCCGAGCTGCCGCTTGGTCCTGAGGCGAAGGGGAGGCTGAGTGTGCTGTGATCGGCGGGCGATCAACGTATGGATATAGGAGCTGACGAGACGCTGGATTCATTTTTGAATGGCAATATACCCACTCTTCTTATTTACTTCAGACGACGAGCGATGTCCGACTTCTTTAATTTGAGTCCGACTTCGTGTCTGCTGTGAGAACTGTGTACTTACTTTCCAAGCTTCACCTATGGGAGGGTATCAAAACCTTGGATAAGCCCAAGTGGTATTCCCAGTCATACAGCCAAAAGTGACTTTCAAAAGAAAAAGTACGATCTGGTGCACTTGGAATACAATAGAAGCTTGGGAAGAGGTGACAAGGCCACTAGCATGCATGAGGCCCTGTTGCCTTCCGTCTCGACAGCGATCGCCATAACTTGATTCCCCTCGTGTGAGTGCTACATATATACATGGAGGTTATTGTGCGTCTCTACCACTCCTGTATTGTGAGCCTCAAACAGGTGACAAGATCAACATCTCCACTGCACGGTTGCCTACCGGACTGGTAAAAGACTAGTTGGGATTAGCCGCCTGACTTCACATTTCATCTGATCCTATCACCGTTGTGACCATGTCCCCGGCCCACATATGAGCACTACTCGATCCGGTCTGCTGCAGACCTTCTCAGCTTTGCCATTAGGCTATCATATCACTTACTGGCGATCGAATGAGACAGCCCTTGCGTGTTGCCACTCTGGAACGGTCTTGCTGGAAGTCCTCCGACATAGCTAACCGTAAAGTCGAATGAGGACAAGAAGCTTCAGGGCCTTACTCTAAGCTGAGATTCACGCGCGGTCGGCCTTGCTACACCCGTCCCATCTGATAACGGCACGTATGCGGCGCATTTAGCTGTAAACGGAGGCTTTCACTCAGGGCAAGTTCATAGATGAGTAGTGGAGAACTAGCTCTTTCCCAAGATTGGAAAATATTGCGATATGTGAGTTTGGTGGCGCACAATGACTGGACATTTCGCCGTGCAAGATACAAGTAAGAATTCTGACATTCGACGTATGCATCATTGACCGAGCCTCGCTTTTCGTAGCTACAATTGGTGTGTATATCATTACAAATCCGTTGCCCAGCCCCTGGCCGCAGTGGCCTGATGCAATGAGCAATTTGGAAGCCTCCCTCCCTCTGTACGAGGCCCTACCAAGCACTGAGCATGGCCAATCGACCCTTCTCTGCTCTTGCGGGGCGCAACAAGCACGCCCCAACCCCTATTTTTGTTTCCCTTATGTGAGCTTCTGCTTGATGAAGAATGACCGCAGGTGAGACAATTGCCAGGTGCAGGTAACAGCGAGAACGGTGAGCTGGATAAGCATCCATCTGATGACACGGGCGTTGGTGGATTCGGACTGGTCTCTGAACTCGGCTTCGCGTTCCTGATTCGTTTTCGTTAGCATTGCTTGGTACCTTGATACACATTGGCGCCAAACGGACGCCATCTCTCCCGTCTCGAACAGTGAGAGAGAAAGCTTCTGTATCGGCTCTAATGGTGGAAGACTTACACGCTGGAAGACTTGCTCCCTGCGAATATCCTGCAGACGAGCGTTGAGGTCCTTGACGCGGGTCGCGATATCCTCGAGCTTGCTCTTGTCGGAGCTCTCGATCTCGGTGCTCTCGCCGATAGCGAGGTCAAGTGTCAGACGGATACCACCGTTGTGGGAGTGGAGCGAGAGCCAGCCGGCGCGGCCAGAGGTGGAAGAAGGGGTGAAGCAGAGCATGTGGTCGCCGGCGTCGGCAGCCGTGAAGGTGAAACGACCTGATGCCTGGCCGCGCTGAGAAACCACACGGTGGTCGTTGTCGAAGGTTTCCTACGATGTAGATCATCAGCATGGATTTTCTTCTTGCTCTTGTGGGCACGCCAGCAAGAGAGACCCGGGTGCCTATAGCTATGTGGTAGCTCCAAAGGGGGGGGGGGGGGGGGAGCGCGACCAAGGGGTTTGACTTACATCAACGGAAATGTAGATGCTGAGACCATCGTGCTTGGCCCACTGATTGATCCGGTCATCCCACTCCTCGGCAGTGTAGTGGCCAACGACGAGCGTGTCCTTGGGGAGCTCCTCGAAGAAGCACTTGGGCGAGGTGCCGTCAATGTAGAAGTACAGCGCCTGAGCGACTGCGCTCAGCGAGAGCAATGGGAGAAATGGCCTCATGTTGTTGACGACGGAAGTTGAATGCGACTGACGAAGTGTAGGGCAAACCGCAGGTTTTTCGGGGCAGGGTCGATTCAAATTCGCGGTGCTCGTCGTCTGTCGGCTGTCGAGGGGGTGTAATTGTAGATGCTTCGTTTCTTCGAGTCGACAGCGCCAGGTCAGCCAGTTCGCTCGGGTACCCACATTAAAGTCCCAGGGTGCGCGGGAGTAACTTTCAAAGCTGCCACGTTCGAAAAATTGGTGGTGGAACAGGGGTGGCATTGGCCACCACCTCTTGGGACTTGGGGGAGGAAGTGGATCACGTGCGGTCCCCAAACGACAGACTGCGCGCCTGCCAATGCGACCTGCGCGTCCAAAGAAATGTACCTTTTTTGGATTCGAGATTTCGGAGAACAGAAGCATTTGTAAGTCTCCGTCTTTCTTCGACGGAAACCACTCCATGAAACCACGAAGCCCACGGTCATCGACGAAATATCCCGAAAATAACTACACGATACCCGTTTCCTTGATGCATGTGACAACTCAGCGATAAATTGATGCCATCGAGCAGACTAGTGGCAATCGTCAATCGAAGATAAAATCCGCCCTTCCGACCATTCGCGCAGCATCACAACTACTCTTCAGCCAGCTCTTCCCTCCTCCCTACCCACCGCGACTATGACGTCCTCCGACGTGCGAGATGTCCTCAATCTCCCCGACAGCCACGGAGGCCCCCGACCGGCGAAAAAACAGAAGACGTCCGGCCCGCGGCCGAATCTCAAGGGTCTCGCCCGTGAGGTCCAGAATCTGGGCGGCGATAACCCGATCGCCATCGTTCCTGAAGTATCGATCTTCAAGAAGCGGCGATTCGCAAGCAGGAAACCGGCGACAAAGTGGGAACTCAAGCCTTTCACAAACTCAGCACGGGGCGACAGCGGCGCATTAGTACTGAAGCACTGGAAACGCAAGACACCGACGGCTACGGAAAATGGGCACCAGGGTGGCGACGCCGAAATGAAAGATGCGGAAGGGGAGCAGGCAGCGGTGAAGCCCGAGAACTCAATGTTTGCGAAATTCAACGTGGAGGTGGATGTGCCGCAGTACAGCGAAGACCAGTACCGGACGAACCTGCAAAACGACGACTGGAGCAAGGAGGAGACGGATTACCTGCTAGGGTTGGTAAAGGACTTTGACCTACGGTGGCCGATCATATGGGACCGATACGACTACTTGCCAGAAGCGATCAATGGAGAGGCGTCGGCAGACGGGGATGAGAGTAAGGCTATCATCCCCGTGCCGAAACCAAGGACGATGGAGGACCTCAAAGCGCGCTACTACGACGTTGCGGCAAAGATGATGGCGGTGCAGAAGCCCGTTCAGTACATGACGCAACCCGAGTACACCCTTCATGAGCTCATGGCCAACTTCAACGCCAACCAGGAGAAGCAGCGCAAGGACTTCGCCAACAACGCGCTTACCCGGAGCAAGGAGGAAGCCAAGGAGGAGGAATCACTACTACTGGAGATCAAGCGCATTCTCGCACGCAGCGACCGTTTCAACGAGGAGCGTCGGGAGCTCTACAACCGTCTGGACTACCCACACACTGACCAGGACATCAGCGCGTTCAAGTCCAGTGCTGGGTTACAAACTCTACTGCAGAACCTGATGAATGCAGACAAGTCCAAAAAGCGGAAGTCGCTCATGGCAGCGGACGGCGTCAGCCCCTCCGCGCCCACGGGACAACAGCCCGCGGCTGCAGCGACAGCGACGGCCGCGTCAACAGACAACAAAGACCGCCGCGAGAGCATTGCTGCTGCGGCGGCTGCGACCCCGGCGGAGAAAACACAAAAGGAACCTCCTAGCAGCGTCGCGCAGACACCGACGGCGCCGGCAGGCGGAAAGAAGGGCCAGCAGCAGCAGGAACGCCGCAAGCTCAACGATGCCGAGATGCACGTCTACGGTGTCACGCACCACGACCGCCTGTCTAGTGGACCGACGTTCCGCTACGAGAAGATCAACAAGCTTTTTACACACAAGTCGAACCAGCAGCAACTGCGCATCATGAACACGCTCAACGAGCTCGACATCCCGCCAAGGCTAGTTATGCCGACAGCACCGGTAACAGCCCAATACGAGCTCCTGCTTGGCGCCGTCAACAGTCTGCTTGATGCTAGAAAGGTCACGGACAAGATTGACGCCGAGATCAAGCTCGAGCTGGCCAAAAAGGCGGAGCGCGAGAAGGCGAACCAGCCAGAGCCCGACCCGGCTGCTGAGAAGAAGGAAGGCGAAGGTCAAGGCCAGTCTACGGAAGAGAAGAAGGACAAGACCACCGTAGGGGGCGAGGGCGAAGGCGAGAGCGAGGCAAACGCCGAACCTAAAGCTGCCGCTGAGCCATCCAAGGATGATGAACCCAAAACCAACGGAGACGCCGGCGGTGGGGAGGCAACTCCCGCTGCGGACGGGGACAAAGCAGCTGCCGTAGCAGCTGCTGCGCCGGCCGCGACGGAGGAGGGCAAGGGGGACGCGGAGAAGGAAAAGTCAGCGCGACCGGGGAGCAGTGGGGCAACACATAAACGGAGCGCCAGCGTCATGAGTGCCGGGGGCGAGGAGAAGAATGCCAAGAGGCAGAAGAAGTGAAGCAAGTGAAGGCCATGTACCGTCAAAGTACCGTCAGACAATCAGGTACTTTGCTTTCTAGCTACGCAAGGCGCTACGCGCCGTGACGAAGATGGATGAAGTGCCTTACGATATGTATAATCACACACACAATTGAGATTGAACCTCGAAGGAGTCATCTCCGCGCGTGACCAACCACCCCCTCCCTCTTAGACCGGGGAGTGGGGCGTGATGGGAGATGCGAGCGCGAACTGTCGGTGTACGGATTATTGGTCAAAAGGGCCGCGGCAATATTTTGGAACCAAGATGTGGGAGCGTGGACAGGGACGGGTAAGGGTTCAAACTGCAAAGTTGATTGGGTTGGTTTAGGTATCGAGGCAGAGCGATGTGGGAAAAGCCGCCGCCTCTACGGAGTTTGTCTGGGGTTAGTGGGAAAATGTAGAAAAGCTTGAAACAAGGAAAATAAGAAACAGGACTGCTGCTTTTGCCCGACGTTGCTGGGTATCTTTGCTTCACGTGGGCGTTGTGACCGGGGGTACGTCTGGATGATGTGCCCATGTCTTGACGAAGTGCCCATGTCTGGATGATGCGCCCATGTCGTAGTGGGATGAAGTAGCAATGGGAAAGGAGGATCATGAAACAAAAAAACGCCGATAGGTATGCAGAAGAGCCGGAACCTAGCGGTGGGCAATATCAAAATGCTGCACCTCGAGGTAACCTTGTCGCTTTTGCCCCGCGCTTACACATTTGTATGGATGTCGTGTAAGTTGGTGTTGTTACAACGATATCGTGCCAGGGTTATGGAGTACAGGAGGCAAGTTTGACAACTCAAAAAGGGAGAAATGGAATAAGTCTCTGCAGTTCGCTTCTTTTACAATTATAATTGCGGCGGGATTAGAGGGTGGTTGCGAGAGATAAGGGTCCCTTCGGTGTAGGGGAACCCATGAAGTTCAACGCAGGACGTGACGTCTCATTAAGCAAGATGCAGCTCATAGGCGGCTGCAGGTGAGGCTAATCATCTTAATATAGCAACGGCAGCTAAAAATATCGACGTGGAGAGCGGTTACGGTTGGGAAGGTGACTGATCATAGCATGCCGCTTGCCTCGGAGCCGGGTCATATAGTCTGCTGGAAGGGGGAAGGGAGGTTTATGAACGCACGAGACTGACAGGGCCCTTTAGATCTCTGGACCCGCCTGTGGCGAGACTGGCCGGCCCAATGATTGGAGGCCGATCGAGATGATGTCGGTGAAGGTCTTCGTGCCACGATCGTGCTTCTACTGACTTCAGGGTCCTGGTTCTGTTGTGTCCACGGATGGGGGTGTGAGTTGGAGGGCGTCAAGGTTAAGCGGCGGCCGCGTCAGGGACCTAACTGGCAATCTCGAGATCTTGCCTGCAGGGAAGAAGAGTTTCATACATATGGAGAGGGAGGTTAGACGAGGTCCAGAGAAGGAGGCGTCGGCGTGACGCTGGGGAACGATGGGCTCGGCTCCGTGTCTAGCCTTAGGTATCCTGGGCGCCGGTTCGTCGAGAGGCTGTTGTCATGCTAGAGAACGCGGGATGTATGGTCGCTTGCGTACCTTGCAGGTTTAGAAAGCTAGAAATTTAGACATGTAACTGCTTGTCTGGCGCGTATGCCGCACGGCGCGGATACAGGGAGTGGGCTGTAGTCAGGCCTTTAGGGAAGGGGAGATCTGCAGGCCGCTCGCTCGGTCAAAGATGCCAGGACCAGGAGCGGAACTTGCTGTTGGGTCCGGTAGTTATTAATAGAGACCCAGGCGCCTCGAAAGTGTAGAAATTCATGGGTTTGGGAAGATTGCCATGCCATGCGGTGGAAGAGAACTTTTCTAGAAGAAGGGTAGTCAGCAACGTGGAGTTTGACGTTGTCGTTTGCGAGGAGAATGAGGGAGCGCTTATGAGTGGGCGCTTAGTTGGAGTCGAGCGACACCATTGGCTGAAAGCCAAACTGTTGTAAGGGTTTGTGTGATGGAGCTGCGATGTTGTGCATGGCAGAGATCTTGACACTTCTAAGATTAGAAACACGTCGGTATTTCTGAAATAAGGGTCGTCTCTTTTACGACAATGAGTTTGAAAATGACGTCTGAAGAGACATGAGGCGTGATGTGGTCAAGTTGAGAGGTTGTAGACGGGAAGTCGAGAGCCTATCCATGCTCACGATCTATTAGGCCACATGATTAAGTACTTAGGTAGTAGACGCCATTCTGGAAAACAAGTGAAAGGATACTTTTATTCAAAAATTGAAACCGAAGAAGAGAGCCAGCCGTGCCAGTGTATCCACCCGAAGGTCACATTTCTTAGGGCCCAGGGGTCAGTTGTTTTCATCGAGGCTGCGATGATCGAGAACAATGAAGATAAAAGTATCCGTAGTTTGCAGTGAAAGAGATTG